CCCCTTTCCCGTTTACGATGATCGAAGAATATTAAGAATTTTTTACCCGTTCTCTTACTTTCTAGTGCATTTGATATGATTAAAATAAATCACAATGTGTGCATGTACTTTCTCATAAAGGTAACAGTGAAGCTTAGTATATGCCTTATACATGTATTCTATGTCTAGAAATGAAGTTGTGGAGTGTACGTGTCACTTGTGGGATTCATATATATTCTGGTATTGTGGTTTGTTATTCGACTTATATACAATGATGGGTTCAATATTAATTCATGATTACACTATTACTTCATACATATAAATTGCAGATTTTTTTTATTTAACAAGAATTAAAAATACATATATTTTATTGGGTGGGGATGGGTGTTACATTCTGATTCACTGAAAAGTATGTAGCTGTAGATCTGTAGCGTTATCGTTTTATATTTGTCTTTGACCATAACGCTACAGATACCGTAATGCAAAAAGGTGCAATTTGCGGCGCAATATTTTTTGCGCACTTTTGGGGAGAATTACTCCACTTTCCAGCATCGGTCAATTAACTACCTTTCACTCCCTAATTCTAGGCACATTATTTAACTAATCTGTATATTTTATCCATCTCCCAACCCTTTATAGTCGTCTCTACAAGTGATAAACTCGCTTGATTAAAATTATTTGTTAGATTGCTGAAAATTCACTTCAAGTGAGTTTATTGCTGGTAGAGACATGGGAGGTGGATAAAATATACATGTTGGCAAGTATGCAGATGCATTTAGATACGAAAATAATTCTAAATATATTTATTTTCAATAATTTAAACATAAATATAAAATAGGAAACGGAAGGCCAGGAAAAATAAATCAAATGTTAAAGAATTACCAAGAAATAATGATTGAACACTTTAAATTTTGATGCACCTAATCTTTATTGATTTGATTGAAACACGCATTTATTGAATTATACAAACGGATTGGAAACAAGTTTGAGAACTTTCAAGTTCTTGTGAATTAAAGACTGATTTCATACGGACACACGAAGAAGAAAAGGATCAATCTATACTACAAGAAACAAATACAATTTATTCTTGGGTGCAGAATATCTTTTCAATAAGCCAAAAGATCTTCAGTATGAAAACATTCGAAACTAAAACATGTAAATAGTTGAAACTTGTGAAAATAGAAATGTTTAACTTATTTTCCTTTAGATAGGAAAAAAAAACCTGTCGCACTCTTTAAAATTTCAGGTATTTAGAACATGAACTATGACAATGCTTTCTATCTATTCTGTGTATTGAATAGACTTTTAATGCCGGGGGGGGGGCTTTCTCGAACTTTTTTACAGATAAATACTTTGATAGTGTTAAACAGAGACAATTAAGTGCCTCTGCTTAATTGGGATTGAACCCGAGGCCTCTTTGCTTTACCGAATAAGCTTAAGGGTTAACCCACTAGCCAAAGCTAGTAGGAAGCCGTAAGTGTGTCGTTTGTACTACCACAATAGGATTTTTGTTATCCAAATGTTGCTTATTTTCTTTTACTATTGCAGTGATGTACATTTATGCCATTTTACTGCATTGTAAAATTCTTTAAAAATATAGGAGCACATTCTCTGATATATTATAGAAAGAGTGGGAGATTTTATACCTAATTCCTTACAAATAAAAAAATATCACTATGAGATCCTTATAATGAAGTTTTTACTGTAGCAGGAATACATTGACCTTTAACCTGAAAAGCCAAAAGAGGTGTTAAGATATTCATGGACAACAATGGTATAGCAAAAATTATGCTAATCTTTTACCTGAAAATCAAAATTTATGAAGCTTGTTTAATTACTCTATCCATGGAGTTTGATGAATATTAACCAAACTATTAAATATCCTTCTCACTTTGATCTTTTGACTAAAACCTTAATAAGGACATTTTATTTACCATTGTGTAACTTGGATGAGTACCTTGTATTATCTTTTGAATATATTAGTTGGACACTATTTTTAATTTGACCCAAAATAGAAGAAACCTGGAAAATCTTTTATTTCCTTGTATGAACAAATTATTTGATGTCATGCAGTTATTTTAACCAAAATATCAGGACAATCTGAGGACTTTTAAATAAAAAGTTCTCATTATAGTCAAGGAAACCATCAGTGTACCTACCAAAGACAAAATAGGAATGTCAACTCAACAAAACAAGTAAGGCTGCTTTTCTTTAAATAGTAAAATTCTGATGAATTGGGTGAGTGTTTCTTACTTTATGCCTATAAAGAAAAATATTTCCTCCATTTTGACTGTATGGATTAAGCATATAATTGAATCACACTTATTTCTTTCATGTCATTCTAATGGTCATAGTGCCCATCATTCATAATATGTACTAGTCTCAATCATAAGATGGATCCACATTTTCTTTTTATTTCACATCACTTGGCGGCCATATTTGAGGGAAACTCAAAATTCTCTGTCCATGTTAATTTCTGGTGTATACCTTCATCATTTGACATAACTCATTTACTTCTTGTATTCTGATTGCCTAAATCAGAGATATTCATACATAGAAAGAGAACAAAAAATGAATAGAGTGAATTTATTGCAAGAAATCCTTTAAATTTGATACATAGAAAGAAACATTGTTTTCATTCCTTTGGATTGACCCTGAATAGAGATACCATTTACTTTTTGGCAAGTGTAAACTTTATACTGCATGACTAATCATGATTTGTATATTGAAATTTAAAATGGTTTCTTTAATGCTTAAATCATAATACTCCTACTGTCCTAGTGAAAATTATGCTCAATCAACTTTGTGAAATATTCCCAACTTCCAATGCTTCTTATTTACATTAAAAAAAACTGACTCAAATAAAATTGGTTTTCTCATTTATTTTACAAGAAATAACATGCTGACAGTGAATCTAATCATTTTTAAAACTGGTTAAAGTAATGTTTACAATTGTCTTAAAATGCTCAAATACGAGTTCATTTCATACACAAATACCTTAAATGTATAGACTAAATGTACTTATAGATTCAATATATAGATTAACCCTTTATAAATAGTAAAAACCATTTCTTAAACCTGATTTTCTTGCCTATTCTCTCATGCATTACGTAATTTGAGTATTCTCAAATTATTGATTACATAAACAAACAAATTTAAGACAAAACCACAATATATGCTGAATATCCTGAAATGAAATGGTTACATATGTAAGATGTGTAACACATCATGTACAACTTTTAAGTCTACAAAATTTTAAGTTAACCATATTATACAATAAGACTACTTTTTTTCAAAGTTATGAAAAATTCTCCACAAAAATATGTCTTTATGCAAAAGATAAATGTTAGGGTACATTTTTAAAATACATTTTACATGAATCACATAAAGAACATTACAAATCATTTTTTTTTTGTGGTTGTTTTCCATTGGAACATCTGTGAACAAACATTCTGTTTTGTCTTATTGATACATAAAAAGCGTCCAAAAATCATTTGGAATTGTTGTGTTAAACCCTGATATAATAATTTTAAGTTTCTATTGTGTGCCCTACTTAGAAATGATTACAATGTAACAAAGATGAAACTCATAATTTGATTTAATCAGCAATGATAAAGTCATCAAGTTTCTGCATGCTTTTCTGACACATCATGTACATTTTTTCTACTAGTATGTCTTTGTTCATAAAAAAAATGAAATCAACAGTACTTAGCATTCCATATAAAGAAATATGAACCCTTGCTATTAGAAATTTAAAAATATATTTGTGCATCAATGCATTATGTTTAACAAAACAATCTCTTTCACTGTGATGAAAATTGTCTTCTTCATATAACATGCAGATGAAGAACTTCTTTGGATGATGTCATTTTCACATGTAGAAAAGAAACTAATTCAATTCAAACTAAAAGACAATCATTAAAATTTTAAAGACATTAAAGGATGATATCAAGATGGAAGTCCAGGAATTGATAAAATTCTACAATTATCATCCAAAGATGTATATGTTTGAATTTGTTTTTTAATTCATAAGCAAATGATATGCTGCCATTTAATCTTTCAAACTTTAAAAAAAGTTCTATACTTTTGAATGAAAATTTCAAAATCTAGAGGAGTCTTCCCAATACCTATCTATTTATGACTGAAGGTATGTAAATCACCAGAGTTGCTGTACTGCACCATTTGAATAAAAGTCATATCCACATTCTTGACTTTTTCCCTAAACCTTATTTCAAAACATATATTATTCCAACCAGTCTTTATCTATGCAGTGATAAGATTTTTACAGAATTCTAAGGTATTACATAGTAATAGTCTTTAAACATCCTTGAACATAGTGCATATGATTTACATTTCAATTCTTACCAAAGAATATCCTATGCCACCCAATAAAGCTGATATAAAGTCTCTAAGTTATCACAAAATGTTAAAGTTACAACAACTAAATTTTACCCAGGAAAAAAATAATCCAAAAATATATAGAAAATCTCCGATTCATTCTTTACATATGATGTGAAGTTTGAAGGTTACAAATTATTTTGAAAGGTAGTTATCTCAATAATCTCATGCTTTGACCTTGACAAATTATCATGTAAAACTAAGTGTATTACTCTAACCTGTTCTGTGAAGTAAGCATGAAGTCTATGGGGTGATATAAATATTCAAGATATTATTACATCACAGATAAGGGGACACCTGCATCTTTAGGGGGGTCCTATTGAGACCTATTAAATTCAAAATAGGACACACACATACACAAACAAAATGTATTTACAGTTCCAGGAAAGTAATAATTACACCAAAGCTAGCTTCTAAACATCTGTGTATTTTCTAGGGGTGTTGTAGATATAAGATGAAAAATTAAGGATTCAATGTATAAAAGTCATACATAACAACTGTATTCAATTTGTACTACATAAATTAAAAGTTAAATTTAGATATTTTGAAATCTGTGAGAATTAGTTTTTTGAAGATCTCATACTATCAGAAAAACACGTTTTCAATACTTTGATTTGATTAAACTTCAGTCTATTAAATGACTACAATTTATCTATTGTTTTGTATGCCAGCATATGAAGGATATGAATGGGAGAGGATCTAGAAAAATGCACAATCCTGGGTCCTTTCTCTCTTATCCTGTGAACCACAATTCATGATCATCATGATTGACTTAGTTTGGAATCATATTTATTCATGTGCTTCTTGAGTCCTCCATCCATCTCTGGTTTTATATTCTTGTATCAGTGTTCCAAGAGAGTATATTCTGTTAGTCTGTGCATAATTTACTGAGTTCCCCATTGAGAATCCTTGAAAGGAAAAAAAAATTATTAGTTGAAAAATTGATATGCAATATAAGCTTAATAGAATTTTAAATATAGACAAAAAGGGATATAAAAACAAGGTGTTACATCAGATTTTGACTTTTCATATTAACCATGGGTAACAGCTTTAGTAAAAGAAAAGAGTAAAGGAATGAGTAAAATTCAGTTTGGAGAGAGAGTTCTTACAGAGAAAGATGTAGAACGAGGTTTACCAATTAAAATAAAAAGAGATGACATTATTCAGATCATTTCTCATGAAGAATATAGCTAATTATCCCCACAATGGATGGGCCTTGTGATGTCATAGATTACATAGACAGACCCTTGATTGCAGAAGAAGCCTATGAAGAATATAATCATTAATTACCAATAGAGGGTAAGGATTACCTGGATTACCCTGAAAGACCTTTGACTGGAGAGAAAATTCAATTTAAAGATGCTAAGAGAGAAAACAGTTGTCAGCAAAAAAAAAAATGTTAAAAACACATGATTTTAACTCCACAGAGGAGAAGAGACCTGAGGATTAATGGAGAAACTCTACACTAAAGTTTTAGAAGACATTTAGGCTCATTTTGATAGTAACTTGCCAATTTTTGTTTAACTACAAAATTTTGTTCTCTGATAGAAAAAAAAAAACACTCTCTTACATTTGCTATGACTTAGACCTTTTAGTCAAGATTGTAATATACACTCTGATTATCCTTTGTGTCAGATGTGAAGTCACCATGTTGTTTGCTTTAAAAATGGTGTCAGGGTTTTTGTGTTCAGAAAAACAAAGAGAAATAAACATATAAACAGATCTGAGATGTTGGAAGCATACACATTAAGTGATGTAAGGAAACAAAACACTTGAATTCATTACTAGATTATTAAAAGAAAGAAGAAAAACTCATAGAAATGATATTGAAAGTACCTTATATGAATAATGTGTCATGCTCCAAGGTATATTTTTATAAACAGGTTAAGGTCCACAGCAGTCCCCATGCACTCATAAGAAGATCCTGGATGGTAGAAACACCAGGAAATTTTAATGCCATGCAATCAGATCATCTTACATCAGCTATAAAGGTTACAGCCTTTAGACATAGTCAGGAGGGTCATTATTGATTAAGATTTTTCACTGTTGATCCTGAGGAGCCACATTGTAGTATTCTTTCCCTGTAAATATAATGTCAATATTAAATGAAAAATTCAGAATTCATAAGCACTTGGATAGAAAACTTGAAATCTTTACCAACTATGCTTTTAAGGAAGCTGAGGGTTAATAAATTAACCATCTGATATAACTTATTTTTAGATATCTGTTAAGATATCGTCAGCTGTTAACTATCATTTGGCAAAGAAAAATTTCACACATTTTAGTTTCACAATTTGATCATTTTTGTAAATATATGGAGCTCTTCTTCTCATAGAGGAAATCAATATAGTCTAAAAATAACCATGACCACCAAGCCCTCATAATTTCAAAAAAAGATCATATCATCTACTTATCAATTCAATTAATTTGAAAATATAATCAAGCATATATAAAAAAATATATATATAAAAATTAGGACTGGATATCTCATTGAAACTTTACCTTCAAGTTTGATTGTTTCTATGTTGGTTGACTAACTATGTATTTCCAAAGGAATTTGGGCAGACAGGCTGAACTTCATAGAGAATGGATTATAGATGGTTAGGAATAAAACATAACTTCCATGTTGAGGACTGTAGAAAATATAATCATTTTGTTAATATGACAAGGAACTGCATGAAACATTGCATGTTTAAAATACAGTGCCAAAAAGTTCATGAAAATAGTTCATCATGTTATCTTTAGATAACAAAAGAAGCACAGTTATTGTATTAATATCACAAATACAAAATGATTATCAGTGTAATTTTTAGACACTAACAGACTTTCTCTTAACAGCAGATTCAATTTTGTTTAATACCTGTCAGTACAGTGTACAAAAAGATATTAGCATATACAACATGTAGTCCTACATTTTTTGAAAAGCTCATTACTAAGAAACAAAAGTGAAAATGAAATGATTATGTATGCCATATATAGCACATATTTAGAATCAAAACAAGGATAAACCTTTTGTAGATTCTTACTTTTTCTTTTATTACATTCCTTATAGATCACAATTTAGTAAGTCTGAATTCCATGGGTAACAGACATAATGAATTATGACATTATATCATAATTTATGCAAAAGGACTTATTAACAATATGAAGTTTCCTTAGTATATTTTAGCCAAAATAAGACTGTGCTTATATGAATGTTAGAGATATGAGATCACATAAGATTATTTTCTTATTCGTTTCCACTCAAACGAACATAAATAATTTATAAAATAAATAACAACACGTATATAGGTAGGTACAGAAGCGCTCTCGTAAGTGCAGTTTAATATCATACACAAAATATACATTTTCAACTTTCCTCCTTGACAACTCATCCAATCTACAAAACAAAACATATAATTAATAAAACAAACATGATACTTATGAGGGTGGGTGGGAGGGGAAATGTCTGACTGCACTGAGAAAGAGTCTTAGAATGACATTTAAATCTTGCATACGCTAAAGCGTGCGTGCTTTAACAGAATACCTGTAGAACAGGTATTCTATAAATACTTTAACCATTCAGACCGACATTCTTCATATACTCTAGATAAACACGTGTCTAATTGATACACGTGTTATGATAACTTCAATAAATACATTTATGTTCTTATTCGTTTCCACTCAAACGAACATAAATAATTTATAAAATAAATAACAACACGTATATAGGTAGGTACAGAAGCGCTCTCGTAAGTGCAGTTTCGACAATAAAGAAAGAAAAGAAATAAAGATTACAAAGCCAACTGTTTTATCAATACAGAACGTTTTGATTGTACATTTTCGTGTTCATAACTCTTTTGCATTTTACGACTTCCATGCTTCATGTTTCCTAAGAAGACGATCACTGACACTGGCTGCAGCAGTATCACCGCCTGACCTCAAACCATTTTCCCAACATTTTATAAAATCTTTAGTCCTAAACTATCTTTAACTAAAAATAAATTAATGACGTCTCTGATGTATCTGATAAAAAAAATATCCAAGTAGCATATTAATCGGAGGAGTATCAGAATTCGTACGTGATCATATACACAAAAGGCGCCTTGCTTATAAACATCACTTTTTATCTTTGCAATTAATAACTTAGGATAAAATTCATAAAAAGAAATATTCGACCTTAGAACTAATATCAACAATTTTAGAAAAACGTAAAACCCTATATATCCTTACGGAAAATACAAGTACACAATTCATTACATACAATGATTCATTATTTCCATTTACAGCTGATAAAATTAAAAGGTTTCTTTTGACATTGTTCTCTTCTAGAACTCTTATACAACCTTCTTATACAAGCTTGTTAGAGTCGGATAATCCCGACACATTGTGGACTCAGGATACCCCATGAGTAGCTTCCTCTACTTTACCTTAAAAAAAACAAAACTGGAAAGATAAGTCAAATACATTGTGACACGGACATCACTTATAAAATTGTTGAATGCATACCTGTACATCGTTTTGTATTTCATGCTTTTGACTTCAGGTAGCGGTTGGGTAAGGGCTCCACAATAAAAGGATGGAGCCTGAGTGCTGTTAAACAAAGATGTTCACCCACCAACCCAAAACAATTCTGCAAAACGTACACAGTAAATAAATTCAAAACAAAAATGTTAATTCAAGACAACAGTGTAAATCTGCGTGTATCAGGGCCTTGTCACTGCAATACACAACTTGATAAACTCTGTTTGATAAACATGAATTGAATTTCCAAAGCTGAGAAAACAACATTCAAACATCAGCAGTACAATAATGTTCCAGGGCCATTAACAATGGCTTTATTTACATATTTTTTGAAAACTTTTAATTTTCGACATCTGCAGTACATTGGTGTACCAGGGCCTTAAACAATGACTTTATATTAATGTATTTCGAATTATTCATTTTGAAAACATTAATTTTCGACATCTACAGTACAAAAGTGTACCAGGGCCTTTAACAGTGAATTTATTTTTCTACCATTGTATTATTCATTTTGAAAATTTTTAATTTTCGACATCTGCAGTACAAATGTGTACCAGGGCCTTAAACAGTGAATTCATTTCATACAGTTTTATTATTCATTTTGAAAACTTCAATTTTCGACATCCGCAGTACAAATGTGTACCAGGGCCTTAAACAGTGATTCATTTTATACCATTATATTATTCATTTTGAAAATTTTAATTTTCGACATCTGCAGTACAAATGTGTACCAGGGCCTTAAACAGTGATTCATTTTATACCATTGTATTATTCATTTTGATATCTTTAATTTTACGACATCTGCAGTACAAAAGTGTACCAGGGCCTTTAACAGTGAATTCATTTTATATCATAGTATTGTTCGTTTAAAAAAAAACTTTTATTTTCGACGTCTGCAGTACAAAAGTGTACCAGGGCCTTAAACAGTGATTCATTTTATACCATTATAGTATTTATTTTGAAAATTTTAATTTTCGACATCTGCAGTACAAATGTGTACCAGGGCCTTAAACAGTGAATTCATTTCATAACATTGTATTATTCATTTTGAAAACTTTAATTTTCGACATCTGCAGTACAAATGTGTACCAGGGCCTTAAACAGTGAATTCATTTCATATTATTGTATTATTCATTTTGAAAACTTTAATTTTCGACATCTGCAGTACAAATGTGTACCAGGGCCTTAAACAGTGATTCATTTTATACCATTGTATTATTCATATTGAAAACTTTAATTTTTGACATCTGCAGTACAAATGTGTACCAGGGCCTTAAACAGTGAATTCATTTCATACAGTTTTATTATTCATTTTGCAAACTTTAATTTTCGACATCTGCAGTACAAATGTGTACCAGGGCCTTAAACAGTGAATTCATTTTATACCATTGTATTATTCATTTTGAAAACTTTAATTTTCGACATCTGCAGTACAAAAATGTGCCAGGGCCTTAAACAGTGAATTCATTTTATACCATTGTATTATTCATTTTGAAAACTTTAATTTTCGACATCTGCAGTACAAAAATGTACCAGGGCATTAAACATTGACTTTATTTTATAACAATTTGTATTTTAACTTTAACTTTAATTTTCGAAATATGCAGACCAATAGTGTATCACGGCCTGAAAGAATGGCTCTATTTAAATATATTTTGAAAATATTTTGTAAACTTTAATTTTCAACGTCAGTAGTACAAAAGTGTACCAGGGTCTTAAACAACAGCTTTATTTAAATATATTTTGGATAATACATTTTCAACACTTCAATGTTTTACATCTGCAGTACACTTCATTTTGAAAATTTTAATTTTTGACATCATCAGTACAATAGTGAAGTAAGTGTACCCGGACCATAAACAACGAATAGGGGATCCGTTTTATACATCTGCACTACCAGGGTACTATGTCCCATAACACCTATATGTGCACCAGGATCCACATCAACTGCAGTGCACATATCACATCAATGCACATCTACCAATGACACAGTGACTCATATCATGCTTCCAGTACTTATAATCATCACCTATATGTGCACCAGGACCCACATCAACTGCAGTGCACATATCACATCAACGCACATTTACCAATGACACAGTGCCTTCCAGTACTTATAATCATCACGACATATTGATAATTGCATAAAATCTTATTTCTTATACTGGAAATAAGAACCAGATCAAACCAAAAACAATGTTTTAAATTTCTCTTTTGAGCGTGTACATACATGTACATGTAGATTCAGACGCATCTTGTACTTCAATACACTGAGTATCTGAAATATTAATGAGTTGAAACTTTGTCTTTATGCACAAAATTCCAAAAAGAAGCCAATTTCCATTATGTACAATTATTGCCCTTATACCCCAGCACCTACTGCGCTAGAAACTGAATCTACCAATGTACTTTCTCTTTGTATAATCTTAAGTTCTCTTTCACAAAAATTTCGGATATATGATGAACAAATTTTCAGCCATATCGTCTTAACTGAAATCTTGAAATAAAGTGTACCGTCCCAAAATGTTTGTAAAACATATAGAAACATCTTCCTAACAACCTACACAAACGTTACCCATAATGATATTATTTTCTTACGACTAGCAGAAGTCTTAGATTAATCTGAAAGAAATAGAACAATATTTGTCTTTTGAATTCTTCTTTGTGGGATGGAAGCTTTGAATGCTCCTGAATTCCATCTGATACCCGACCATTTTAAATCTTGCACTGTACTGAAAATCGATTTTTTAAATCTTACCTCGTCTAAGGATAACTTGATAATTAAACCTTAAAATTCTCTGACACACTCTTCAAATTACTCTCACATTTCAATACCAAATACTAAAATCAAACACTTCTTTATCCTCTTTTCTGTTACGCTCAAATGTATCTTTTAACACAACCTGAAATAATAACATCTCCAATGCTTTTTGAAATAAACGAAAAGTTCTATAGAGTAGATTTTGTATACTAATTCTAAATGGGCTATTTGTGAATGAATATAAAGTCGTTTATATCTCAGAATATTTTCCCAGGAATCATAATGATTTCAGAAACTATTATTCATTTATTTTAAGACCCATTTGAATATTTTATTGGTAAAAACCTGCAATGTTCAATCGTTATCTCATCAAACATATCTACTGATAATATATACTTATCAATTTCATTTCAAATGGATTGGAGTTTATACCGCTGATGTATTGATTGTTGGGGTGCCGCCAACCCTGGCCGTCTGCATGCACTTGTAGCATAAGTCCCTGGACTGAGGTGTTGCAATGTAAACTCTGAATTCGAAAGCAACAACAGCAAGGGGAAAATGTTTACCATAGGATTGGAAGAAAAGCAATTTACTCTCTTTACTAATATTCATTATAATGATACTTTCATGCCGTCTCCACCCTGCTGGAGAACTGTCTGTATTTCTATTATACTTATGTCTTGTTTAATTTTTTTTTTTTTTTTTTTTACCATGGTATCTTAACAGCTTTGTTATTACAAACATATAATGCCTTGAATTTTTATCAAGTAGCTCTTAATAATTCCTTGTTAAACAAATGTACCTTGTTTTCCTCGTATTTCAGTTAACCCGCTACGTTTTCGGGTGTAAATAGCAGCAAAAATGCAAATGAATTAGACGTGGACTGTGACTTCTCTGACTCTAGTAACAAAGGAATTCCTCCATGTGTTTCGTCAGACATAGGAAAATGCCGCTCATAATCCATGGGGACACTGAATAGATACGTCTGACTGCACTGAGAAAGAGCCTTCGAATGGCATTTAAATCTTACACACGCTAAAGCGTGCGTGCTTTAACAGAATACCTGTAGGACAGGTATTCTATAAATACTTTAACCAATCAGACCGACACTCTTCATATACACTAGATTAACACGTGTCCGATTGATACACGTGTTATGATAACTTCAATAAATACATATTACACAGTAATTAAATTAAACCATATAATCATGCTTAAATGCAAAGATGACCTTCATAGGAAAATGTAAACAAAACAAAGACAAACTTACCAGAGATATCCAATTATATGCCCAATTAAATAATCCAGTGAAATAACATCTTAGCTGATCCTGAAAAAAATCATACAATATTCAGTGATACACAATTAACCTCATTTTACAATGTAAGTAAAACAATAATTGACAGATAAAAGGGACAGAAATGTAAAAGATACCATATGTATTTTATCAAAATTTAGTGAATATTTTTCTGATTTAAATTCAATCAAAGAATGATCCATCATAGAAATATTAAATGCACTCTGAGTTACATGCAGGTTATACAACTGTAAATCACATGAAATGAGGATAAATACAGCATTTACATTCAAAATAGAACTTTACATATAAATCATGGTTAAATGCAAAGATGACCTTCATAGGAAAATGTAAACAAAACAAAGACAAACTTACCAGAGATATCCAAATATATGCCCAATAAGTCTATCCATTAAATAATCCAGTGAAATAACATCTTAGCTGATCCTGAAAAAAAAGCATACAATATTCAGTGATACTCAATTTAACCTCATTTTACAAAGGAAGTAAAGCAACAATTGACAGACAAACAGGACAGAAAAACATGTTTAAATGTAATGCAAAATAATATCTCTTATATATGGATACCTATACTCTAATCAATCATATTAAATGTCATTCGTAAAATGTATTTTTTAAGACAGATTTATTTAGGATCGACTTTTTAAATGATAACATGAATAGCACGCCATACTTTAACCACATGTCAAAACATTCTCTCAAATTACACAGAAATGGGTTATTTAGCATAGCTGACATTAAACATATAGGTGAGCGATAACATAATCACAATCATAAACAATGTGAAACAACTTTAAAAGACCTACAGGGTAAATTACAAGCCTTCTTCACTGGGGTAAAATCCTGCCGAAAATTCGCCATGGCCGCCCGAAACCCCGAACCCGACTGTATAAAAGATGAAGTCATACAATAACATAACACTGATGTAGTATTACATGATTTTTTTTATTTTATTTCTTAAAAACTATAAGGGGAGTTTACCAAAAAAAAATTAATAAGAAAAAAAAATTAAAGTTATTTTAAAAAAGTTAAAAAAAAATTATGTTTTTTAAAAAAAAGTTTAAAAAATTTAAAAAGAAATTCTAAGTTTTTTAAAAAAGTGACCTGGTGTTATAACTTGACAGACATAACACACACATGTTTTTTGTATTGTGTGTTATTTGTTATTGTCTTTCAGTAAAAAAATCAGTTCAAACCGGTTAGGCTGGCTAGACTAGGCTGTCTAGACTGTAAATGAAAAAGTGTGACGTCATAATCACATTGTATTTATACAGTGAATGACGTCACAATGCATAGGTAAGTTTATCGTACTTTTTGCACACGGCACTTTATAGAGGATGCAAACAGGAATATATAAGGAAAAAACACAGGTAAAAAGGTATATTTCTTTTTGCACACGACCCTAATTTTTTTTGCACACGGCACTTTATAGAGGATGCAAACAGGTATATATATAAGAAAACGCAGGTAAAACGTATTTTTCTTTTGCACACGACCCCTAATGTTTTGCACAAGGCACTTTATAGAGGATGCAAACAGGTAAATATAAGGAAAACGTAGTAAAAAGTATATTTCTTTTGCACACGGCCCTAAAAATAAAATCCATGCTATATATAAACCAGAGCTGGACATCGAGGATCAGTCTGTGTGATTACTAGGAAGTGAACACAGGTAAAATATGGCAGAGGAAAATATGACAGAGAAAACGGAGCATCGTTGGTATATTGAGATATTCGGATATGGTATTGATAAGAAGGGACCTTGGATGAAAACCACAGAAGAAGCCATACAGGATTTCATGAATTTTAAAATTCATTCCACAGAATCACCTAATGAAGAAGAAGAAATGACCCCAAGAGTATGGTTGGAAACAAGACAAAAAATTCATGCTGCAGATTGTCCTAAGAGAAGAAACCTAGTCTTCAGCTATATTGAGGGAATAATTGGTGGTCCTGAATCAAAGTACCCATTTTGGGCTGTTCCTGGATGTCCTCAATACAAGTGGACAATCGAGGGTGTTCCTGGTAATCTGGATGGAAGTTACTGGTTCAGAAATTCAGAAGACTGTTTTCAGGATTTGCTCAAGGACATGAAAAAGAGAAGGTTATGGCACCCAAGTCACGCCTACTACCTGAATGCTCGTATATACTTTAGTAATGTCTTTAATTTTTATTGTAAAATTTGGGGTATAACACAGTGATTGATTACAGATCCCTGAAAAGGCACAGAAGAAACAGAAAATGTAAATTGTATGTATTTTTTCATTGTGAATAAAAATTGGAAAAAAATCAAAATCTGTGTTCTTGTTTTCACTAAAACCAGTTTGAACCGGTTAGGCTAGACTGTCTAGACTGTGAAGCGTGACGTCATAATCACATTCTTGAAATGTTTTGCACACGGCGCATTTTTACCTGTGTCCATAAACAAAAACGTAGTACCTACGTACCAATGTAAAAACACAGTGTAAACAACTCCAGTATTTAAGGGGAATAGGATAGGGTTAGTTAGGGGGTTAGGGTTAGTTAGGGTTAGGGTTAGGGGTAGGGGGTTAGGGTTAGTTAGGGTTAGGGTTAGGTTAGGGTTAGGGCTAGGTTAGGGTTAGGGGTTAGGGTTAGGGTTAGGGTTAGGGCCAGGGGTTAGGGTTAGGGTTAGGGTTAGTTAGGGTTAGGGTTAGGGCTAGGGTTAGGGTTAGGACTGCACTCAGTTGACCCCCCTTTCCCCTCCACCAATCAGAATCCAGAAGTTTTGACCTCATTTGCATAAAAAGTGCACTCAGTTGACCCGTCTATCTAGACGGTTTATACTACTCCCCTCATTATCTGCAATCAGAGATAACCCTGCCAATTAGCCTAGATAAACACAGTGACATTTAATACCTCCTCTCTTTTAAAATACAGACACTCACTGACAAAACAAGTAAATTTTGAATGAAAATATTAATATGATTTTGCAAATTTAAAACACAATCAGATTTGATAAGCTATAAGATAAAACGTGTCAAGCAAACTGAATAAACTCGATCTAATTGACAAAAGATTAGGGGAATTAGAAAAAAACGTGATAACCACAAACGATGAGCTGAGGAAAATGAAAGCTAAAATGGGTGACATGGACGAGGGCCTGCATTTCTTAAGCAAACAATATGAAGATCAACGTAGCGAAGTTAAACAAATAAAAGAATCGGTGGTCCAGATCAGGAAAAGATCAGAGGTCATAGTTGAAGAGAACTAGACTATAATATCTGAGCTCATTAATGTTTAAATAAGTTATTATTATTACAATAATAATATCCTTTACGTGACAGAGTTATATTAACTATAATTGGTATATTTGTTATAATTTATTTCTGAGGTAACATGTTTTATTCGGTAATGGTTGTAAAGTTGTTTCATGTTTAAAAACTATTTAGATCGGGATCAATTACCATATTTTAATATATGACACCATTGTCTTAATTTACAGCCAATCAGCGTGGCTTCTCCTAATCACGTGACCATTGTTTTATTTACCAAAGGAGAAAGCCACACAAATTTACAAGGAAATTTTTTATCGAAAAACCCTCCATCCATCCCCCTTTCTTCCACCGCCTTATATTATATTTGTTATATATGTACATGAATTAGTGTTCATATTTATTTGTTTGGCGTTTATTTTCTTTTAACCCACCCTTTTTTGATGACAGGCATATCAGTGCCTGCTTTATGATATATGTAATTTTAGGGGGTCAGATTGCATAATATGAATACCAAAGATTTTTGTATTCTTTCGAAGTTTTTTCTAGTCTTGTTTGCCCCCCTTATAATATGTTTATATTTTGTTTTGCGTCATTTACCTCAATAAATGACATTTTTTCACTTTCACTACTGTTGTTATTTTAATTTTAATCCATCAAAAAACTAGCTTAGTTGACTTGGCTTCGGTCTTGCATAATAACAGAGGAACATAAATCCTATTAAAGTTTCATTAATGTTTAGAAATGAACATTTTATAGGGTGTAGAACTGATGATCAACCTCCTGGCCCTTATATGTAGTTGCTAAAAACTGGGATACTGATAAAAAGTTGAACTACCAAAACTATGTTGAAAAAAGGGTGAATCAGAATGTAGTTAAAGTCCTTGAAAATGATATAAACAGTTGAAGATACTAATTTGGAGTTTATTGATAATATTGTAGATAAAGTTGGTGAAATCTTTGTAGAAAGTGCTAAAGAAGTTTTTGGCACAAAACAAATTTATACAAACTGTAACAAAGAAATCAAAAATTGTAAAGTTAATAAACTTTGGTTTACGGCTGATTGTAAATGTGCCAGGCAAAACTATAGAAAAGCAAGGAGACTATAAAAATTTTGGTGGTTCTATTTTCAAAACAAACGTGTATGAAAAAGAAAAGTTGTATAATCAGAAACTAAAGCTTGCAAATAGTAAACATGCATAGAACAGAAATGAAAGAAAACTAAGATACCTAATTACTTCAAACCCTTAAGAATATTGGAAAATTTTAATACAAACATAAACAAGCAAAGATGTATGGCTGACCTAAACGATAATTTTTATAAAGACTGTAGCAATATGCAATTCAATGAATCAAACTAGAACTATGTTTTAAATGAGGAAGAACTCCTTCTGGTATCTGATATACAGTTGAATCACTATATTAATCAACCAATCACACATGATGAAGTTCTTAAAAGTATTGAAAAATAATAAATCTAGTGGTGATGACAGAATTATAAATGAGTACATCAAGAGTACATCTGACTGTTTATTGAACTTGTATGTTGAGCTATTTAATAGAATATTTGATTTTGGAATAATTCCCTCACAGTGGACTAATGGCAATATAATCCCAATATATAAAAATAAAGGTAATAAATTCGATCCTAAAAACTACAGACCAATTACATTAATAAGTTGTTTGGGTAAATTGTTCACTTCCATCATGAATGAGAGACTAAATAACTATGATGATAGAGCTAAACTTATCTTGGAGAACCAAGCCGGTTTTCGAAAAGATTTGTTTACTCTGGATCATATTTGTTCATTATACTCACTTATTGAACTGTTTAAATTATATAAAAAGAAACTATACTGTGTTCTTATAGATTTCGAGAAAGCATTTGACTCGGTCTGGCGATTAGGTCTCTGGAATAAAATTTTATTAAACAATATAGATGACAAATTTTTTAAAGGTATAACTAATATGTATAAGGATATTAAATCAAGAGTAGTAGTTAACGGAGTATCATCAGAAAAGTTTTCATGTATTGTTGGAGTAAGACAAGGTGAAGATTTATCACCATTTTTATTTGCACTGTATTTAAATGATCTTGAAGGTTTTTCTTGTTTGACAAAAATGTAAAAGGTTTGAAAAATCTGTCTGAGAAAATTGAAGAACTTAATATACTCAACAAAAAAAGAAACGCATATTCAGAATAATATGAAAATCTAAGTTTTCAGTTTAAACCTTTTGTTATTTAAGTGATTTTAGAGTGTGTTGTGTTAAAAATCAAACATGTCCTATGTTGCAGATTGAAAAGTCAAGTTGATGTCATTTTCATCGCCCCCAAATTCAAGGGGCATAACAATATGTACTGAGCGACGTCTCAATTCTAGTGAGTTTCCAATGTAAGGATATTGTGGAGGAATACCATCTCTTTTCAGTCTCTTGCGAACAATTTATGCACTTTTATGCTGATTTTTTCATCCAGCAATTGTAGCAGCAATTTTTACAGCAAGTTCTGAATAGCATGAGGTGCTGAAGGGGGCGGGGGGTCTGACGGTCCTGCCTGGTTGTGGTTACCTGCGGATGACCTGATAATGGTCTTCAGACGTTCGTTTAACGGTTGCAAATCCCATTGATTTATTCCAAATACAGATG